AGTAATGAGGCAGCCGCAGTGAAAGCTAATTTTCTCTGTGTCTCCCTTTGAAGTTTACACAACTTTGTTATGATGTGTCCTCAATTAACCTGACTTAAGTTAACATGTAGGCAATTTAAGCTTTCATGTAGACCTAACAGACAGAATTACACATTTTAAACAATAAAAGGAGAAAATGAATACTCATATCATATAGTTTGGTGAGGATATCTTAGCTGCCATTCACTGAATTACAATAGGATAAATCTAGAGCCAAGCTAACAGCTTTGTTGCTTCTATTGCACAGTTGTGGAATGAGCTAAATGCTAATGCTCGCTAACAGGTTTTTCAGTTTAGAGTTAAGCATGGTAACATTTGCAGATTAACATTATACACAAATTAGGCTACAGCTAAAGCTGATGGGATTAGCACTTGTTTTAGGTTAGCTTGACAAAATAAATGCTAAAGCTAGCAAGAATGTCATAACTTTGGGATGTTTTTTTTGTCTGGTGTGTTGGTATGCTAACATACCATCTAATTCACTTAACGTGGTCGTATCTTACAGTTATAACCTATAAAGTTTATGCGAATCGTAAATTAATTAACAGGTTTTGACTATCTTTTGTGTCGGTCGTGTTTCTGATGATACCATGTCTGTCAGCTAAACAGGTTATGTACTATTTGTTTTATTTTCTTAATTGTTGCTCTGAGCTGAGGGGTGCTTCAGTCCAAAAACACGCTGTTTCTTTGGACACCAGATGAATGCAAGGTCAAAACACAATAGGCTATATCAAACATTTTCACTCAGGTCCAAATAAAAGCATCTCATTGGCATCTTAGGGAAGGAGTAACTTCCCTTTCATAGTAGGCTATGTAGTGTCATTACATTATTTACTTCACTGTTTCAGTTCCCATAGTCAAATTTAGAAGTAGAGATAACAGTCTTCCTTAAATCAGTCAGGTGCTCTAAATATCTTACTGGAAGCCACACAGCGAGGCTGAAGGGATATCTGTTCCAGCACATGATAGTCTTTGATTAATTAATTAGCAGCAAACTCAGGGCTGTTGTTTTAGCCTCCACAGAGACGATCTGAGTAAATGCTGAATCACTGATGAGGGAAAAAACGTACTCTGAAAGCTTCAGGTAAGATCTTTGTGAAGGTGAAAAAAGCATGAAGTGACTGGTGTCAAACTGGTTATTACAGGTTTCTACATCACGACCCTTTTGAAATCCAGACTCTTGCTTAGAAAAGAGAAAAAAGCTCTGTGAGTGCTTGTTTTCTCCAGGAATAAAAGCTTTGGAGTGTCCTTCACCTCTCCCTGATCCCCCCTCTTGTCATTCCTCTGCCTCCTCTTTTATTTCCCCACCCTTCACCACCAGCAGGCAAACACCTATACCTGAACTCGGGTTTCTCCTTACGTTTCAGGTGGACGGGAGGGGGTGAGTAGAGTTGCTGGAAGGGAGGGGGACGGGTTTAAGTGGTCACACTCAGGCGGTCAGCTGAAGGAGGACACTACACTACACTACGCTACACTCCAGTGGCATTAGTTTCACGGCTGTGCCACAGGAATGTGGAGAGCGCTCTTATCAGGAAGGAAAAAGAAGAGCAACGTCATAAACATGTACCAAAAACTCCACAACTATGACAGATAAGGTGAGGTACCTGCAGGAGAAGGGGGGTGGAGAGGGTGAGAGGCAGGAGCAGGGGTCCTGATCCGCGCCAAGCTATAGAACGGATAAGATGAGCCAGACAATACAGCCTTTGTCATGTGATCAGGGTGGGCTGATATTCCCACACTGATCAACAGTGGGTGCAGGGAGACGGTGGGTGGGGGCAACAACAGGTGGATTCCACAGATAGAAAGACTCTTTGATGGCACAGCCGCCCTCCACCAGGTGAAGGAAGGAGGACTGACACACCAGCCTTTAATTATTCATCCCCTCATAGTCAATTATTAAAGTATTTGTATTTGTCTGGTGATTACCTCCTTCCTTTGTGGGGTAAGAAAACAATATTTACAATTGCAGCTCTTCTATTTAAGGCCAGAAGCTCTGAGAAATGATTAGCCTCATTCTATAGCAGCATGTTAGTCTTAAATTGCTTCCACCTTTAACAGAAATAATCTGATGCAAGTATGCCAATTAACCATATTTACACAGCAGCCATCTTCACTGTAAAAAAAAGGAAACAGGTAGGCTTCAAAAGGAAGTATATTCATGAATAACTTAAGTTTAATAAGATCAAAACAGATGCTTTATAAAGACATTCCTCTGACAAAGGCTGTAAACATTTATAATGTCAAACTTTGGATACCTTTGCAACCAGCGAAGTGAACACTGGAACTGTACTTTCTGGCACTTCTCCATTGGCTTCCTTTTTCCAAACGGCAAAGGTTTAGACATGCTACATCACTGCTTCCTCATAAGGCAACTGCAAAGATTGTGAAAATGCTGGTGGCAATATGTCAAGCTCAAAGATTTGAAATTACAGGGCTAGGAAAGTATCAAAATGTTTAGGGAAACAGTATTTCATAACATTTCTCTGCAGATGATTTGAGCTCAAGATTTGTTATATTGAATGACCTTTAAAGATTCAATGAATTGAGCGAAGGCCAAAGGTCGTTATGATTTACAGCAGTGGCAGTCAGCCGTGTTAGACTTCAGATTGAGCAAAAAAAACCTAACTAAATTATGTGGGAAACAGTGACATGACTTGCAAAGCATTCTGCTGACAATGTTTCCCTTTTTTAAATAATTACTTTGGCTCTTTTTTTTTTTTTACCCGAAGTAGAACCTAAGAGAGCATCAACTTGTCCCAAATGAACCACAGGTTGAGGATCACTGCTATACAGAGGAGGCTTTCAAAAACAAGTGCAGGGCATATGCAAGCTTTGGTTTCTGTAACAATACTCCAACACATTGAAACATAGGCCATGTAAATTGAAAGGCAGCCACATGTTAGTCTAAATAACATATTTCACATAAGATTCTATAGCCTACACTTCCTAAAGCAGGTAGGATTGAGAAAATGTATTAAACCCCAGAGTGGTGAATGATGGCATTACTCGTTTTTTCAACAAAAAACAAAAAAAAACCCCATTACACTTTCCTCAGCAAGCAAATAAAGATGTCAATGTTTTACTTACAAGTTAAAGCTTTATTGGACTTACAAAATTTAAATTCTAAAAGCACACAAATCGTTAAACAAAACTTTTCAAACTGGTTTACAGTCACGTTAGTTGTCAAGTATTCATTTGTTTTACATCTTTTAGAGTGCAAAGCGGGCATTCGAGTAACCAGCGACCTTGGCCCCACCTCAGACAGGACGCCAGCATCAATTACACCAGTGTGTTTGTTTAAAAAAAAAAAGGGGGAATTTCCATAGTCCAAAAGGGCACCTGCACCGGCTGCCAGACTTTGGCGCAGTGTCCCCGGTTCGTGCGTAAAAAGGAGAACGCTCCTTTCAAATAAATCCACACAAAAAAAAGGGACATGCAAATACTACTTAAGTGAAATCCAAAATGCGTTGTGAGATCGGAGATTTTTAAGGAACTGCTCTTAAAATGCGTTGCGTTTACAGTCCCGGGGGCCGCCGGCGATGCGTGTGCCCAGTGCAAGGCGCCGCCATCAGTCCGGTCATTAGGACCAGCTGTAGAGGAGAGAAGCAGCCACAGCCACCGGGAGCAGCAGCGTGAAGGACCCGGTCCGCCCGCAGCCGTCTTTCGGCGCCGCCGTCACTGTGGTGTTCGTGCTAGTGCTCATGTTAGTGTTCATGGAGGCTGTGGTGAACTGCGCCTGGACCACCTGCAGCAGAAAGACCAGAATTAGTGTGGAACAAGTAGGCTTCAAACTTCAGAGCAGATTATAATGTAAGCAACATGTCAGTGATGAAGAGCTCCCAGCACACAAACAGCTTGTGAAATCAATTAAAACATCCTAGCATAAACTTCGTGTACTACATACGGGACAACAAAAACAAAGTTCAAGCTCTTCATGGTTGCTTTCAGATTAAATTTAAGCTTAGGTCAGTTTTTAAAATGTTATTCATATAAACTCGAAAGAAAAACCTGAAAGCCACTAATTGACAGCTGAATTAAATAGAAAATTAAGAACACCAGTTAAGCTACCCAAGCGATTGTTAGAGAGAACTTTTGACAACGCGTTGAAAATAAACACAATAGAGGATAAATCTCACCTGTGTTGTAATAAAGAGGAGAGCCAGCAGGAAAAATCCCAGGTGAGCTAGGCACATCTTGTTCATTTTGGCGTTGAGTGTGGACAAACAGTAGGCTCGCTGCTTTCTGCTCAGGTGGATGTTCAGTGAGGAGGTGGATGAGACAGGAGGTGCTGCTGCTGCTGCTGCTGCACCTTTTATACACTCGATGACGTCAACAGCCACTCAATACCACCTGCTGCAACCATTCAGGTGCTGTTGGAAATATAGCACTGGCTAGAATAAGAAACTCTTATAGGCTATCCTAGAAACAATCTCACCTCCCTTATTGAAGTTAACGTTTGAGAGATAAAATCAGCACTCATTATCCTCCGAAACCATCACAGTGAAATAATTAATCGTGGTGCACTTACATGTTTGTACATGTAAAACGTTTTTTTAAATTGAAAAGTTCTGTTGCACAATATTAGGACACTAATGTTGGTAGTTTACAAGTTGAGAACTACACCTATAGGCTTTTATAAAATATAATAATTTAACCTTGTAATTTCAAGTTTGAACTGCCGTACAAACAATTGAGAATAATAATTAAAATGATAAACTGTGAATAACGAGAAGCTTACACTTTTGGTTAAAACTTTAAAATTAATATATAACTGTTCTATCATGTTTAGGCTTTGTTTTGATACCTTGCACTTGTATATTCATAAAAGTAAAAGAATGAGAAAATAACAGTGTATGAGTTCATATTATGGTGGATAAATATCGTCCTCTAGTGGCCGCATGTGTCGTATTACACATAATTGTCAAAGCGAGTGACTGAATATTGTCCCATGTACATATCCGTAGTTGTCCTCCCTACAATTTCTTCCGGTGAAACACAACATTGCAAGGAGGCGGACTATGACAGCGAAGTAGCTGCAAAGTGTCACCACTAAACAACAGAACATTTTTACAGGACTTCTAGTTTCGCTCGGCCACACAGCTACCTCTCCTCTCCATGCTGCTGTGCCGGGTGTCGGCTGTCGGCCTGACGCTAGCGAGATGGGGACGGAGGTCACAGCGGGGAGGCGGCCTCCTCCTCCACCGTGCTGTCTCCTTCAGCTCCAGCCGCTGTGTGAGCTCCGGAGAAGAGAACGGCTCTGCTCAGGGACTGTACCGGGACACAGTGCTCCTCCCCCGGTGTGATTTCCCCATGAAGCTGACCGGACAGAAGTTACTGGACCGAGAAGTCCAGATACAGAAGGTACGATACTCCACTCAGTTAAATGCCAATTTAAACTTTATGTGTTCGTAGACAGCTTGAAATTTATTAAAGATCATGAACTTAATATTATTGTTTTTATTTGGAATTCAGTCACCATTTCGGCATGCATTACATGATTCAAGGGTGGTTTACTAATTCCCCTCATGACTGACACATTACTGAAATGTCTTAATTTGAAGAGTTGACATATAGATAAGTGAATAACTTCCCTCCAGATGTTCTTGCATGTGAATATTTAAGCACTGTTGCAGATAGGTAACAGTATAATGCTGTTTTCTTCCTTTTTGACATACAAATGTGAATGCTCTTTACTGTTGCAGGAGTGTGGATTTGCAGATTTGTACTCCTGGCAGAGGGAGAGGAAGGCAAAGAAAGAGTTCTGTCTCCATGATGGACCCCCGTATGCCAATGGAGACCCTCACGTTGGACATGCACTAAACAAGGTAATCAGTACTTGCATTGTTTTAGTTATTTCCTTCAGTTGTGGCCCAGCTCTAACAAATATTAGTAGCTTTTAAAACCCTGCAAAAAAAAGATTATTCAATGAACTCTATCTTCTTTTATCCAGATCCTGAAAGATATCCGTAACCGTTTTGAGATTCTGCGGGGGCGGCAGGTTCACTACATCCCAGGCTGGGACTGCCACGGCCTTCCCATTGAGCTTAAGGCTCTGGGGGAGTTGGGGACCAGCAGCCTTGGACCACTTCAGATAAGACACAAAGGTAAAATACTAGAGCAGGAGAGGAAGCTGAATGAAGCTACCCAGGGCCTTTTAAGATTTACACCTGCTCTTATGTGTTTGTTTTCATCTCATGCAGCGCGGGCGTTTGCAGAAGGGGCCATAGCTCGTCAGAAAGCTGCTTTCCAGCGCTGGGGTGTGGTGGCAGACTGGGACCAGTGCTACTACACCTTTGACGGAGTGTATGAAGCCGCTCAGCTGAAAGTCTTTCAGGAGATGCACAGCAAGGTGAGCTGAGATGTGCTTTTCAATTTCTGTCCCGACTGAATAGACCCATTAACCATGAACTACATCTCTGTGATGAAACTGATACAGTAATGCTAAAGATGATGTTGGATATGGTGAGAAACTTTGGACTTTTTAACTCTTTGGATGCAGCCAACAGCCAATCACACGTCAGGAATGACAACAACAGCCTGTTGGTCTGCATATTTTTGCTCACCACTAAAAGACATTGTTTTAACGGCCTGCTAAGGAAGTGGAAGTCTCTACAAGAGAGAACTTAAATAAGTGGAACTAGGGATACAAAAGTGACTGTGAAGTGAACTCAAAAGATGAAGAAATGGTTGGCAGAAACTCCTGATTTGATATCACGTATATGAACCTTTTCAGCAGCTCGACAAGAGACCACTCACTTTACATCTTGTGTTTACTGAATAACTCCAGAGAGAGAGCCCACGTTTAACCTGTGTTATTTATTCTTGGTAGTGTTCTGTTTGTTTTGGAGAGAAGGATGCCTCTGGGATAGTTTGGCTCTCCATAAAAAGCCTCGTAAACGATGAAAAACTGAAGTTTTCTGGAGACAATCTGAGCTGCTGTGAGCTGCAGCTCGGCTCACATCTGCTCATGTCTCGTGTCCTTTGAAAAGCAATAGACGGACATTTGATTGAAATGTGAAACTTATTTGTTTTATTGTTTTCACCAGCCTTACTATAATATTTAAAAAATACAGCCTTAAAATGTGTCGTAGAATATGTTTTCAGTCATCAGTCCTTATTAAATTACCACTACAACTGGAAACATAACTAAATCATAAACTGAGATAAACACCAGTTTAGATCAATATGAAGAAAGACAGTTAAGCCAGACTTTAAACATTTTTTGTAACATGCTTGATGGTGGTATCGTGGCTGAATTTTAATTTCAGTGACTAAAACAATCTGACTGTAGTTTCTTTAAATTGACCGTCTAACATATGTATTTATTGTTTTGTTCCTCAGGGGTTCATCTACCAGGACTACAAGCCGGTCTTCTGGTCTCCTTCCTCGAGGTACTGAGTTAGCATGCTTTATGCAGAGATCACTGCGAAGGAGGCTTCAATGATTTTAAGCAAATTATTTTCTTTATTTCTACAACCCCATTTTCTAAAGATGTTGGGATGCTGAGCACACTGTAAATAAAACCAGAATGTGATGGACCCATATTTGAATAAAAACAGTACAGATGAGATAAGATGACACATTTTAAAACTAAGGCCCCGTGTACACCTTTTTTTCTCAGCGCCAGCGTCTTTTTTTCAGTTGTTTGAGTAGAGAGAAAGCGGCTGTCTGGATGTAAAGCGCAGCGCCCAGCATCTTTTTTTACAAGCGCTCTGCCGTTTTACTGTGGCTGCTCTGAGCGCTTAAATTGAATATCTTTCAACTTTTCAGAAAGGCGCTGTTGACGTCACGGGCGCTCTTTCCAAAATGAATGATATCCCCTGTATTTAAAAAAGAAAAACAGGTTCTCAAATATAAAACATGTAGTAAAAAGTAATGGAGCCGTGTCAATCAACTGCAGCTGTTGTAAGCAAACTGTTGTCATAGAGACGGGACCGACGTGCAGCACTTTTTTTCCTCAGAGCTCGAATGTTTCATGCAGACACACCTGAGTGCACAGACAGCCTTATCACACTCTGCAGGCATGGAGCATGGCTCTGGAGTTCAAACATGTCCAGGTGATTAACTGGGACCTCCTGCAGTCCTGAGATCCTACATTAAGGAAGAATGTGAAAACATTCCTCTTTCAGAATGACAGAAACTGGTCTCCCCGGTTCCCAAAAGAGTCTCACAGTCGTGTCGTTAAAAGAAGTGATGCTACAGATTGGTTAACATGATCCTGTCCCAACTTTGTGAAACGTGTTGCTTGATTCTAATTCATGATGGGTTTATCATTCTCCCAAAACAATGAACACATTTCAATTTAAACATTTGATATATGTTGCCTTTATTTAAAAAAATTTAAAAAGTTATTTGTCAGGCCTTTTTTCCTTTATTCCCCTGACATCTGAGAGAGACAGGAAATGTTGGGAGGAGAGAGTCAGGGATGATGTGTAGATCTGAACCCAGAGTCGCTTTGACGAGGACCATAGCCTCTGTACATGGGGCGCGCAACACAACCGCTAGGCTATCGGCGCCCCTGATATATGTCTTTGTACCATTTTCAGTCAAATATGGGGTTCCAATGTTTTGCACCTCATTACCTCATGTTTTTCTCCCTTCTAGTTTACACAGTGTCCTCACTTTTTTTGTAAACGGGGTTGTATAATAACATTACTCCCGGCTCTCTTGTCTGTTTTAGAACGGCTCTAGCAGAGGCGGAGTTGGAGTACAACCCTGAGCACGTGAGCAGAGCCGTCTACACCACGTTCCCCCTGAGCACTCTGCCGCCTAACATAGCCTCAGAAGCAGGTGATACAAAGACACACAAACCCAATCAGAACTAAACCTCTTTGTGTAAGCAACCTCTTAATGATATATATATGTGTGTGTGTGTGTGTGTGTGTGTGTGTGGTGTGCATACCTCAGCTGGTCTAGAGAGTGTCTCTGTGTTGGTGTGGACCACCCAGCCATGGACCATTCCTGCAAACCAGGCGGTCTGCTTCATGCCCAACGCACAGTGAGTACTCACATCGTACAGAATACATTAAAGACACCGAGCTCTACTTCCCTTACGACTCAATACACAAGACTTCTGAGGAGGATGCTGATTCAATATTTGACGAGTGTTGTTTGGTGTTTTCAGGTATTCTCTTGTGAAGCGAGCAGACAACTCTCAGGTGCTTTTAGTGGCCACAGAGCGCACAGCCAGCATGTCAGCACTGCTTGGTACAGAGCTGGAGAGTGTACACACATTCACAGGTAATAAACACACACACACACACACACACACACACACACACACACACACACACACACACACACACACACACACACACACACACACACACACACACTGCAGTGTAGCATGCTTGTAACTATTTACCCTCTCCTTCTCTTCAAGGTTCGCAGCTGGAGGGAGGGATCTGCAAACATCCCACAATTCCTGACAAGGAAGTGCCGCTGTTGCCGGCCAATCATGTGACAATGGGAAAAGGAACGGGATTGGTCCACACGGCGCCGGCTCATGGCATGGACGATTACAGTGTGGCCTCTCAGTTTAAACTGTCTGTGGTAGGATCTGAAACATAATCCTTACATCCCAACATTAAAGAAAAAACATGATCCAGATGACAGATCAACATACTTTGTGTGCCTATTAAACTGTGTGTGTTTCTCCTACCAAAGGAGTGTATGGTTGATGAAGACGGAAAGTTCACTGACCTGGCTGGCTCTGAGCTGCAGAATCTGTCAGTAATGACAGAAGGCACAGACAAAGGTAGAGCATAGAGTTACCTGCACATTTTCTTTTCTCTTAAAGGTGTGTGAAGGGATTTTGGTTGGTTATACTGTTTTTTTTTTGTTTTTTTTAAAAGTTTGGATCTATAATTTTGTCTTCTTTCTTTTTGTGCTCGTGAAATCCCCTTCCCGGCCTGTGTCAGTGATTTCCATGCTGAAGGAGTGTGGGGCTCTGGTGAAGGAGGAGCAGTGCGTGCACAGTTACCCGTACGACTGGAGGACTAAACAGCCTGTGGTCATCAGGCCCAGCAAACAGTGGTTCATCAACACAGCCTCGCTTAAAGACAAGGCCAAGGTAAAGCTTAAATAGGACTTAAATAGAATAAAGTCCTATCCTCACAAACAGAACATGCATTTTCCTTTCTTTTCATGTTTATGATGCAAAGATGGCGCTCTGCTAACTCAGCATTATCGTTGTTTGTGTGTTTTTTCCAGGAGGCTCTGCAGAAGGTGCGCATTTTGCCCGAGTCGGCTCGGAGCAGCCTGCTGGCCATGTTGGACAGACGGACCTACTGGTGCATCTCCAGACAGAGAAGCTGGGGTGTCCCGATCCCAGTCTTCTACCACAAAGAGACTGGAGAGGCTCTCATCAACAAGTAAGCGGATACACACATGCACACTGACGGGCTTGTGCACATGCTTGGATTCACATAAAAACTATTCCCTCACATGTGTCTCTGTCCTCTGCAGACACACAGTGTCCCATGTTGCGCAGCTCTTCAAAGAAAAGGGAAGCGACTGCTGGTGGGAGCTTCCTGTTGAGACGTTGCTGCCAGCAGAGGTGCTAAAGAAGGTGAGTAGAGAACATTGTGTATCAGTGTGTTTGTGAGATTAAAAGGGGAATCCCAAGTTTTTTTTAAAATACCTGGGCTTAATTTAACATTTACTGGGATTTAAATAATTAATAATACGTGAAAAAGATTTATTCAGCCGACAGACAAACGAGCTGCTGTGATGACTGTTGCATAAAAATTAGAAGACAAATGTTCCTGATCTGTGTGCGTACAGTTAAAGTGGTTGATTTTACCACTGACAGGATTAAGCTGTTTTCACACATTCACACCTGAAATTCTTAAGAGAAATTTTACGAGGTGGCTGACAGGACATTTTCTGGGTTTTAGCGTTCACACATGCAGCTAACCCCAAAAATGTTAGAGAGTTTTGTGCATTAGTGAATAGTGCTTCATATTGTTAATCAAGAGTCTGGAAACTAGACGGAGAGGATCACTATGGAGGTCTACTTTTTAAATAGTGCAATGTTTTTTTTTTTTAAACAGCCTTTAAACTGCTCCTCAGAGCCACCAGACTCCACTGACAAAATCTGTATTTTTACCGTGCAGAACGAGTGGTTTGCTGACCTCGATCGGTTATTTCTGTTAAACAAAAAACAAAACAAATCAGCACTTGGTCCAAACTGTTGCTGCTTCGTGTGTCTTATTCAGAGTAAAGCTGGCCCAGTGACCGACTACGTTTGTGGAGAAGATGTTCTGGACATCTGGTTCGACAGCGGAGCGTCTTGGGCGGCTGTCCTAGAAGGTACCGTCTCTTTAATCTGTCTCATCATGTAAACCACAGGAGCTCTAAACGATTTGAAACAGCCCTGTATGAAACTTTGTACATTCTGATCAGTTTCTCTCTAATCTATGAGAAAGAGGTGGCTTTGTGTAAGTGTATGTGATGATGTTCACACTTCTATCTCTCCACTGACACTCAGCAGGTGAGCTGCTCTTAATTCTTCAGCTCACTTCAGTGAAAGTCGACTTTACCAGCTTTCAAACGGCCTTTAATCAGGTCACCGCGTTCATTAGTTTTATTGCAGAGAAAGCTTCTTACACCTGCTTTAGAAAGACCACCAATCAAATCTGTTTGTTGAGTGTGATGTTAGCACAAGCTGGGGTTTGCTGACTACACACCTGGATTAAGCTGTCTCAGCATACAGTACCGCTCACATCGTGCTGCACTGAAGCAAGATGTTATAAATACACGTTTAGCTGTTTGGTTGAATTCTTATGAAGCAAGTGCTGGTTTGTAGCTAAGGGGGTATTTTGACTCAAAGGATAGGGCAGCTTTTAGTGCTTCTCTGCCTCATTTAGTTTCCCACAGATGAGGCGCTGGTGGGCCGGTGGTTAGTTTGCTACCCCATGTACGGAGGCTGAAACCCTCAGGACTGTGGTCCAGGTTCAGGTCTGACCTTTGGCTCCTTTCACACATGTAATTCATCAGCCTCTCTTATCCTACATATATTTCTGTTTTCCTACTGACATACATACAAATATTCGATCCAAACTGCTCCACATAGCAAAACTTAAAAATAGAAACTGAATTTCAACAATATAAATTCAACCAATGTAAGTCAAATAAGAGAAAATAAGTTCTAAGGCTGAAAATATTGTCAAACCATCTGGGGCAGAACATTACTCTAAATCAGGCTACAGCATGCTAAACAACACTATACTTAGAAGGGGAATATTATCAGCCTTACATCGCTTAAGCATTTAAATATTTGCGTCGATTTTCGGAGCACTTTTGTACATGACATTAGCATCGAGTGAAGTTCCTGCTTTGCCTCCAGCTTCACAGAGCAGCTGTCATGGCTGAACACTCTACCTCTTGACTGAATGATTTGTTCAATTGGTTTTTGTTGTCGTCACTTCCAGAGGAGGAGGAAGACTCTGAAGAGCCTGAGTCACCGCTCAGCTGGCTCCCCGCTCCGCTCCGCAAACCTCTGGTTGCAGGTTATAAGATTAAAAAAAACCAAAACCTTCTACTGTGGTCGACACAGAGGACACTCTTTGGTCCTCTGTGTTTGTGTTTCAGAAGCTTTGACTCGTACTGTTCTGTCTTCTCCTGCTCATACCTCCTCTGTTTGCCTTCAAATGCTCTTGGTTATTTGGCATGTGAACTCTGCAGAAAACAAAAAACTTGTGAAGTCAGTTCAGTAAACTCTGAGGAATATTTAAGAATAAAAAACCTGGAAGAAGGAGATCGAAGGGGACTCTTCAAGTCAGCATGAATCTGGACTCCTGTCCGTCCCCCTTCTCTCTTTGTCTCTCTCTTTTGCATGCAGGATGTACACACAGCGCCTAGCTTTAGAGAACACTGTGGCCGCTTACTTCTTTTTCAGGAAAAACTCCCCACACTCCTCTCTTCTCTCTGCGATGTCTTCGGGTTGAAAGCTTACATGAAAAACTAATTGTCTGCCTGCGTGGAAGTAGACTAAAAAGGGATTTTAACGGTCACCTTCGAGGGTTGTCATTGCAGAAAATGTTGTTTCAATGTAACGTCTAACACTGGCTGCTCTCTCTCTCTCTTTTTCTATTTCACCTTTCATACTTTGACTTGAGTCTACATGTGACTTATTATATTCCCCTCTTTCCTCTCCTTCACCCAGAGACTGACTCCAGGGCAGATGCATACGTTGAAGGGAAGGACCAGATTGGAGGATGGTTCCAGTCTTCGCTGCTCACAAGTGTAGCAGTCAGGAACAAAGCTCCTTACAAGTGCGTGTCTCATCACGACCCAGTGTTTGACAAAAAGTCTTAATGACTGAAAATAACTCTGTGGATCAGATATGTTCAGTTTGGGACATCAAATACCTTGATCATGTCTATAAACCCCTCTATTTCAGCCCTGCTCAGAACAGGCTGTTTCTGTGTCTGTACCTTTAAATATGTAAATGAGCTGTGTCTGACCACGCCCCCTCTCTGGAAGAGCTCGGGTGTCTCGGTCTTTCTCGCTCCATGTCCTATTGTTTACAGTGAGAAGGCAGACTCAGAGGGCAGAACAAACACCTAGTTGTGGGAGTGTCACCCACCTGGGGGAGGGGCTACTGCCCTTTGTGATGTCATGAAGGGAAAATCTCCAAACAGCCTGTTTGAGCACACATTTTCAGAAAAGTGGAGCAGGGAAAAGACGGACAGGATGGACTTTTCTCATCATTGGGACACATGTTAGAGTTAGAAAAACATGGTGAAGTGTATTTTGCATAATATGTGACCTTTAAATCTACATCTCCGCTTACGTGAACTGAAGTGAAAAAATGTAATTGTTGTCTGATATATGAAGTTGACAGTGTGCGTTTGTGTGTAGGTCTCTGGTGGTTCATGGCTTTGCTGTAGGTGAGAAAGGAGAGAAGATGTCCAAGTCTGTGGGTAACGTTGTGGATCCTGATGAAGTCATTAATGGAGGAAAGGTACGATCAGATCACAGAAACTGTTTCCCCTCTGAGTTACTGTCCTGTGACTTTTTTCTAGTTATGCGTCTCTTGTCTCTGGTGTTTCTCAGGACCCCAGTAGGCCAGCGTATGGGGCAGACGTACTGCGTTGGTGGGTGGCCGAGTCAAACGTCTTCTCAGAGGTTCAGATCGGACCCTCCGCTCTCAACTCAGCCAGAGAGAGCATCGGCAAGGTACGAGTGCGGTCAACACCCGGAGCAGGTGACTTGTTGTTTTGTCTGCGAATGATAAATCTCAGCTTCCTCACTCGGCCCTCTGTTTGTCTCTCCAGTTGAGGAACACTCTGAAGTTCCTGCTCGGTAACCTGCAGGGTTTCGACCCCCGAGTTCAGGCTGTGGACCCCAAAGAGATGCACTACATCGATCAGTACATGTTGCACCTGCTTCGTGATTACAGCATCAAGGTGTGTTTAGGTGTATTCCTCCTACATCCAAGCCCCAGCTGTCACTGAAATAAGACCACCTGTATAAGCTAAAGCCTAAAGAGTCGGTGCTTGTTTGTATTTGCAGGTGACGGACGCCTACAGTGAGTTTGACGCTGGAAGGGTTATCCGTATCCTCCAAGCCTTCATGTCCAGAGACCTCTCCAGCTTTTACTTCAGCATCATCAAAGACCGGTGAAGAGTTTCAAAAAGATCAAATCTACACCTGCCACACTTTGTTTGGCTGTAATTGTGTTTGTGAATGTCTTTACGTTTTTTAACCCTGGCCCTGTTTCTACATGTTTTGGTGTTTAAATGATCAGTAGACTCAAAGGGTTTTGAATTGTTCCAGGAGCTTCTTTTTTTTTTAGCTGTAATGGCTGCAAGCTAATCATGTAGGGCCAGCGCCCCCATCAAAGTTTGACCACCAAAAGTGTTTTTTTTAACTTCCTACAGGCTCAGATTTGTTTGCAAAGTGTCAAAGATCATCTCAGAAAGGATCCCTACAAAGAAGCAGCCATAATCTTCATAAAGATATACTGCGTATCAAAGTCCTCATCTGTCTCTCGTCTTATCTATTTCTTAAATTCTGACTTTTTTCTCGATCAGGTTGTACTGTGATCCAGAGGACTCTTTGGGCAGGAGATCATGTCAGACTGTTTTAGAGGAAATTCTGGATGGAGTCACCAGGTCTATAGCGCCCATTCTTCCACATCTAGCTGAAGAGGTCTTTCTACACGCACCAGGACATGATGGTATGTGCCTGTTGTTTAGTCAAGTCAGAATGCCGAGGTCAGCCCTTTTTACAAAAGTATAAATAAAACTCTGATTGTTTCTGCAGAAGGGGAGACGTTATTCAAGAGCGGCTGGGTCAAAAGCAGCTCGGTGTGGAGGAGACCAGGATTGGAGGAGGCGGTGGAGGGGGCGTGTGCCATCAGGACTCCTTCCTGTCGTCCATACCGGGGAAAAATGCGGCTCAGTACGACCTCACCGTCGCAATTGAGCCCGGTCTGCTGTTTGAACTCATGGAGGTAAATGTTTGAATAAATGTTCAACAAAAGACAACGGAAATAACTCGATCTGTACAAATGTTGAAGCAATTTACGGAGCCTTTAAAAATGTTCTCCTTGAATTTTCCTCTCAGTCTCTCCAGGAGGAACCAACCTCCACCTCCTCACAGCTGGTCGAGCTGATGATGGTGGCGCGGGTCAACCTGACCAGCGAGCTGCCCAGAGACCTTCCTCACGATGCTGTTCTGAGCCACGGCACCTTCCTCATCAACCTGGAGGGTGAGACACGTTGCTGATGTTAAATGGAAGTGTTTGATTTTGTATTAGACCTTTCTCACAGCAGACATTTCCACCTGATGTTGGTAAAAACATTACCAGTGTCAGGGCTCTGCGACAGTGACACTGTGCGTTGTGGTATTTTTTGGCATTTTTTAAATGGAAAGAAGGGAACGTATCACGAAGCAAGTTTTAACATGAAGCCAGCTGTCTATGGGCTCGACCTAACCTCAACCTATGGGAAAATGAAGCAAGTGTGAAAAGTGCAAAAAAAAAAAAACTACAGTTCCTTCAGTGTCCACTTGAGGCTGGTACAAAAAGACAGTTAACTAATCATTTTTGATTATATTAAACTAGCTTAAAGTTCCCACCTGTCAGTTTGACTGACAGGTGGGAACACAGAGGAAAAGCATGTAACTGTGTGTGTGTTTATGTGTGTGTGTCCCTTCAGGTGGTGTGATCCGTGAGGACAGTGCTTACAGTATAGCAGTAGTACCCACCTCGGCCTCCCGGTGCCCACGATGCCGCCGCTACACCGCCGACTCAGCAGACTGCCCGTGTCCGCGCTGCCAGGGCATCATCTCACCGCCTCAGACAAATCACTGATGACCTGTCACCATGACAACCAGCAAACACTACCTGGGCCTGCATATTGACCAGCTTTTTTTTTTTTTTTACAATCCTCGTCTCCATGAGCTGAGTGATGTAGAACGGACAGTTTTCTCGTTATTTGGCACTTCCTGCTTTAACAGCGCAGAGCTTTGATTGGGAGAGAACGGCCTTTAAATGCATTTAACATACGGCTCTGAATTGTGCTTCACTGTTCTCATGCACTTACACACTTTCCTAGAACAGCCGAACTGTAAGTCCAAAAAGGTCCAGGGCGGGCCGCTGTCACTTGCCTGAGACGTGCAGGTTATACATTGAAATCCAAACGCAGCATGAGCGAGATCGTTTACTGTAAATAGGATCGGGAAGATATTGACTAGAAGAGACGCCACAGGAGGTTTATCAGTTAATGTTTTTTTAAGTGTGGATGGAAAAGCAATTTACCACATGGAGTGTCACTGTGTGACAGCTGCAGAGGATTTATTTGGGTTGTGGATAAGTTGTTTATTTGTTTTATAAATCCTGGTCTCGTTAACTTAAAAACAGGTGGTGTATGAAAACGATGTATCCAAAGTATAAATAAATGAAGTTTTATCTCTGAATATACTTTGAGTGTCGACTGAATTACTCTGCACACTTACCTCACACTTCTCTCAAGCAGACCTGCAACAATTATATGATGAAAACAAATCAAACAGCTCCAGGTATTCTGATTTCAGCTCCTTAGATGTGAGGAGTTGCTGCTTTTTCTCATTTTCTAAATTACAAGTCTTTGGGTTCTTTTACTCGTAGTTTGACATAAGAAATAATTTGAAATAGTATTTTTTTGTATTAATAGACTTTGGTGATTGTGAAGAAGTCTTAAAGACAAAAACAGTTAAAGGCTTTAGTGACGGTAAACATAAATCATTGGTGATGAAAGTCTCACCTCACCTTAACAAATAAAGCTTTTGAGAGAACTCTTCTCCACTGGATCCACCCTCTCTATGAATACTACGAAATATAAGAAAGTTTCATCTCTGAACTTATGAGTGTTGGCAGAAATAAACTTCAGAATCTCATCACGAGCTGCAATAATTCATCGATTGAAATAAAAAAAATCACCAAATATCATAGGATTGTTTTTTTTTTTTAAGCAAATAATATCAAATGTTTGCTTCAGCTCCTTCACTGTGATGATTTGTAGCTTTTGTAATTCTTCAGTCTTTGGGTTATGAGCTGTTTGACAAAAAGCTGATTGAAAGCTTTTTTGGACTTATGACAACATTTATTTTTTTTTTACTATAAAAGCTTATGGCTCGAACATAACAACTGATTATAAAAAACACCATAAGCAACATGTTTGCTTTTGAGAAACCTCTTTATTCTGCACTGGACGGGCCCAGTGGGAGCAGCTGGACGCAGGACCACAGAACAGGAGGTGTACAGCACAGCTTATAAACAACGGTCTATAAATACAAAATAAGGTTCATTTGTCTTTATGTTACATTAGAGGGAGAGCAGGAGGAGAAACAGAAGTCTGATATGGCACAAAGTTAGGGAAACTGAACACTGACGTAGTGGATCAGACTGAAGATGAAGACGAAGAGAAACCATTTCTTAATAACCATCTCCTACTCACACACACATCCTCCCACGATACTCAACAGTATTAAACTATATTCACAATACATGCATGAACATCTGATGGATTAAAAAGAGTTAAAAGCCTATCGTATCCAGTCCATGCATCTGATGCTGTCTATGATTATGTTGTGAGGATGAAATTATCTGATTTAAAGAAGCTGAATAACTAAATCTCCATGGCAACAGAGGGTCAGTCATCGGAGGTGAGGGCCTCCACGGCCTCTAGGAGGTGCAGAGCCAGGCTGTACTGAGCGTGGTTCTCTGGCAGGATCTCAATCAGACGACCGACCAGCCGGCTGGTCTGAGGCAGGGGGACCAGAGGGCACCGCAGCTCGCTGGGGTCCTGCAGCACATAAATACAAAAGAAAATGTTTAGTTCACTCTCTTCAGCTGTCCTATCCAATTAAGGCAAGAAATGAAAAATGAGGGTTCTTTCTCAATGTGTGTAACGAGTATTTAAATAATTAATGATATGATCCAGTGGCAGACTGTTTGAATAACTAAAGAAGCTTCACTGAAGGATTTTGTTCTAAAGTTTTCTTTATTGGATAGGACAGCTGAAGATAGACAGGAAGTGTTAGGAGGAGAGAGCAGGGTAGGACATGCAGCAAAGGACTGAGCTTGGTTTTGAACCCACAGCCGCTGTAACGAAGACTACAGCCTCCATACATGGGGCGAGCTTCGTAACCGCTAAGCTATCGGCGCCCCAGTTCTGTACTTTTGAAAAACTCCCACTGGAGGACTTGAGGAGCCAAACTGCTTCAAACACTGCTGCAACCGCGGAAATTAAGTAAAATATTTCAGCAGGTAGTGCAAGATTATATGCCAGAATGAAATGACATAGTTCAAAAACATTGTGCGATAGAATCAATCAATTCTATAATCAGCTCAGCAGACCCATGTGAGTAATATCTACATAGTGTAAGAGTCCTTAGGATTTCTTCTAAACACCTTTCTCTAAACCTGATAACTTTTCCTCAACAGGCTCAAGGAAAAGTGGTGAAAAAACACAAGGGAAGTCATTTTTCTACTCTTTGACTGCAGCTCGGGTCCATTTTTGGTCCTTTAGATTAGTGGTTCTCAACTGGTGGGTCGCGGAACCATTTTGAGTGTGTGAATGTGTGCCTTGAAAAAAAAAAACGTCTGTGTAGAGTTTATAAACATGTTTTTAAGAATCAGTCACGTTTTGTACAGACTGAGGTCCAAACTGCACACATTTCAGTAAATAAATCTGATAGGTAGAAAAACTAGACGAGTTGAGAACCTCTGCTTTAGATGTTACCTCTAAACACTGAAACACTGAGTACAACTTTTGGTACTTTTTTTATTTAATATCAAACGGGACGTGTTAAAGTTGAGAAATGCTATTTTGGAAGAAAGACTCTGGCCTCTTCGAACCAGCGACGAGAGAGAGATCATGTTAATTTGTGGACTCACCATTGCCTTGAGCCATGTGCAGAGTGTTGGAGGCAGGCGGGCCAGCAGCTCCATGGCCGGCTGCGTCTGGCTCTGGCTGTGGAGGAGTGAGTAGCTCAGCCTCTGACCAGTAAGAACCAGCAGCTGGGAGCCCAGCACATCTTTATCTTCCACTTCCATCATCACCTAGGAGATAACCAAGCACTGAGGTCAGCATAAATCTTTAAGTAGGAATCGTCCCATGTAAAGCTTCTCATACACTCCTGTACCTCTTCAGCGCGGGGGTCCAGACCCTGGTTGTAGAGCTCGCAGACCAGGTGTCGTTTCAGGATGTCGGGGTTGACCTGTAGGAGGGAGCCCAGCTCCTGACACAGCGAGGGCCACCAGTCAGCCTTAGGGCCATTAGAGGGCAGAGGGGGGGACCCTGAGGCAGAGGCTGAGCTAGAAGGATCGTCTATGGCCTGCACCCAGCCGGTCAGCACCCGCAGGAGGAACTGAGACACAGTAGATAGATCGTGTGTGCAGAGTGTTTAGGCAATTTTTTTAAGAACCTTCATCTTAACTTTTTTAATTAAATTATATTTAGTACCTCCTGCCGTAGAGAGACCAGACCCGGGTCCATGTCCCCACTGGGCATCAGCTGGATGGTTGTCAGATCTCTGAAGAAAGCATTCTTTCCCTGAAACAACACACAAACGCCGTTTCTTTACATTTGCACAAAACTCCTGAAGTTTTGAGGGTAAGCTGCATGTGTGAACGCAAACAGCCACATTTTTCACTCTGACTTCATCCGGGGTTTCTCATGCCAGACCCCCAAGAATGTGTTTTGCGTGAAGTCCAAATGATGTGAGAATGCAGCAGGGTTTAATCAGGGGAATTCACAGAAGAATGAGTCGGAGAGGGTTGTGACCTTTATTCTCTGTGATCAGTGCACGACCATGAACAGTACACACGCGACCAGTAAGATCTCCGTGCATGTAATTAAACTGCTTCATCATGTTTTCTTTTCACCAGCATGTTCTTCTCCGATATAGTTAATTTGTCAAACTATACATAGCATTGATATAAAGGCAGATATTCTCATTATAGCATCATATAGTGGACTCTGTTGCTTCGTCTGCCACTTCTACATCGATCTTTTTACATCATAGCTTGCCTCAGGAGACCCCTGACTCCCCCCTCATTCCCTGTCCCGTCTGACAGGGATTGTCTCCTGCTGTGAGGTGCATGTGTGAACAGCCAGATCAGGAGGATTTCAAGGGCAGTCCTCCTGAAATTATCTAAAATGTACAAGTGCATATCATTAGCCTCATAGCATAATTTCCTAAGTCATATTTTGGCCAAATTGTGATATCTGCCTAACTCTACTCTCCTAACACTGATGTTACAGAATGCTTGTTACATGCCAAAATCACAATCTGCCGAAATCATCTATTTGACTTTGGCTGTTTTGACAATACATACAAAGATAGCGATCCCTATGAAAAACAGGACTCAAGTGAAGATCCTTCTCTTTGATCCAACTGGTAAGCTAGTTCATATCTCTTCAACTTTCTATCCAGTAAATGTACTTTCAGTCGATCATAGGAATTATGAACTGCAGAGGTGTGGACTTGAGACACATGACTTGGAATATGTGTTTTTTCTTCTTTTCTGAAAACCTTAAACTATGACTTAGGCAATTATGCTATGAGGCTAGTGATATGTGAAAACTATGCAGACGCAAATATACAGTGCACACAACAAATTGAGATTACAGAGTAAATATGTCGGTAATTCAAATGTTACCATCTAGGAAACAATGAAGACATTTTTGTTTATAAGCTTGGAAAAGCTGCTGGCGACATAAGCTCCTGAATATTATGTTGAAATAGCGGATGATGAGGAAAGGATTCACCTCACAGTGAACATGAGCATCAGTCAGTGTGTCTCCTCACCTTACTGTCAAACAGGCTGAGGGGTTTGACCTTTACACCAAAGGTCATAGCAGCATGTAGCAGCGAGGCTAACAGGCAGTGGTGTTGCACCAGGGGGTAGTGGACCCCTCTCTGCTCCAGGGCCAGTTCAGCTATAGAGGCAGGACCCTCGGCCCCGCACCACGCCTCCTCCACAGACAGCTCCGGAGCAGAAACCTCCTCCACTGCCGAGTCGGCCTGAAACAAACGAAGGACGGAAGAGATGAGGAGGAGGAGGGACTGTGAGTTATAAAGAACTGATGATCACTTCTTGATATTTGAGGTCACAATCAGGAGCTGATGCACATGCACCTTTTAAAGTTTCCCTCCAGTAAACACGGTTTCTCTTTGTGTCATTTCACTGGATGCTCCTCATGCACGGTCATTCTAGGTTTTTTTTTGGGGCCTATTTTTTTCTTTAACATCTTTTTTTGGGTCTAAGTGACTTAAAGGTGCAAGAAGTTTGGAAATCATTTCAGTAGCTTGTCGGACTTGCACATGCCCTGATCAAAGTCTGTCCGTTCAAAATGCTTGTTGTTTGGCACTGACAGGCCCAGATTATTATTGTTGTTCTTAAAACTCACCCCGCTGACAAAAAGCAATCATTCTATCTTGCACTACTTTGAAGTTGGATCTCTTTGTTTTGTTTTCATGCTCCTTCAGTGTTTCAATGGTTTGGTTTAAACCAAATATATACTCAAAGAGGCAGTGTTAGACAAGCAACTCCTGTGCTCTGTAAGGGTAAAATACCTGTATTTTTTTAAACGTTCAACAGTTTGCAATTATTTTGAAAGGGAATCAATTCTTCAGAGCCTTTATCAGAAAACACTTTTTTGCAAGCAGACTGTTCTTACACGTCTGGAGGGGATCTTTAAGAAAGCTACTTAGCCTCGTTTTGTTTCAAGTGCAGGTGTGGTTAGTAGTGGTAGGTTTCTCCATGCTTTATCTCAGATCTCTTTACTTACATAATAATTGATAAAAGACAAAGGGTACTGATTTTTAACCAACACTCCAGTCACCTCCATGAGGATCTGCAGCAGCTGCACACAACAGCCCAGGAAAGACGTCACGGCTTTGTCTCCCATCCCGACATCCTGCACATGGAAACACACGTCCTTAAACGATGCAGCTCTACATTGAGAATCCATCATATGGTGAAATCTAACAATCTGATGTCCAAGAGTTAGGAATGAAACTTACCCGTCGACACAAGCGATCTTTAGGTGCTTTCCCCACCTGATAAATACGAGAGTTCATATTTGTAATGTAGCTCACAGACTTATCGATACCTTTTCTAACATATTTAGATAGCTACACTGTAAAATATGTGTTGAGGATTTACCTTCTCAATGAGGTAGGCTGCTGATGAGAAACGCTTCACTATGAACGTACTCCACATCATCGCAGAGATTCCTGTGAGGAAGATTGAAAGAAGTTCAATGACTCACTTTTAACTGTCTATTTCTGAAGGCGCTAAAAAAAAGTTACGATGTGAATACTGGTGATTTGATCGTTTTCACTCTGAGGAGATTTATATTTAAAGGGAAATTGAGGCATTTAAAAAAATAAAGGTCTGTTACTGCAGGGATACTTTCTGTAATGTCGTCTGACTCTGAAAAACAATCTGAGCCTGCTGTGAGTGGAATACGAGCCCTTTTAGTGAACCTGCTTTGATAGAGCAATCTGCACTGAGAGATAATGTTTCAGTGATTACAGCCTGTTATACTGAAGAAATCCTCTGGAGCAAACTCAAAACTCTTTGTACCCTTTATGTAATCTAAACCACTTAAAAAAAAAAACAGGGCCCCACATTAAAAATATCACAATTCCCCTTTTAGGTGGAGCTTTATAAACACAGGAATTGGATACGTTGTTCTATACAAAGACTTTCAAGCATGTAGAAAAAAAGAAGAAAATCCTCAGAGTCTCTCACCCAGTTGGATGTGTGGACTGGAGACCAGCTTCAAATGTTCCACAGCCCAGCGTAAATATCCACCCTCCTGGGAAGAGAAACAAGGGGGAGTGTGGTGTCGGAAAAAAAGTGATTGGCTTGGGGCGCCGGTAGCCCAGGAGGTTAGTGAGCGCTAGAACCCGACCTATCAATCAGCCAGCCGATATTAGCTTATCTGGTGACTATGAGTATCGGCTAATTTTATGCCCAGATATAGCTACATTTATTCACCAATCAAATATTTGAGTTTCATTGTATTGCAGTTCGCAAATCCAACCTGTGGCTCCATTCTTACATGTCAATCCCCACTCTCTCTCTCGCCCCGGTTTTCTGACTCTATCCACTGTCCTGTCTCTACATAAAATTAAATTAATGTAAATATGAACAGCTAATTAAATAGAGCATGAAAACAGCAGAGAGTAGTTAACATGTTCCTGCATAAGAAGTCCAGCAGTAACCTCAAATACGGTTTGCACACTACTTCTTAGAATATTCATCATATTGAAAAAAAAAAAAACATTTCTGTTTTAATAGTTTATGTGTGGATGAGTGAGTGTGCACCTCAGGATCTTTGTTCCACTGCACCACGTATTCCCAGCAGCAGTGGGCAAAGAGCAGGTCCGGTGAGAGAGAGTGTGGGAACCGCTGACAGACTGCCACCAACAGCTCTGCAAAACACAGTGGACAATGGGGAGGAAAAGAGGCTGCATGAAATACATATACTGTCACAGACATTAGTAGTGAAGTAATGCTAAAGCAAATCACAAAATGCAATAACAAGATGTACAGGTAATACACAGATGAAGCTCTAATAAAAAGGGTGAGCGCTCAGTGAGGATCCCCATCCTATCCTCACACACATTGTGACCTCGTCTCGACTGATATCTCACTTAACTTACCAAAAGGCCTTCAGCGCCCCCCCCCTCCCCCAACCAACTTTACAAGGCCCATGCTCTGTACATGGGAGCTCTGTGTATTGACAATGCTGATATTATCGACTCTAATGACTCCCACAACTCAACCATGACATGGGCACCTCACTTCACCGGTGTTCTGCCAAGTTAGGCCCACAACACCTCGAGAAGGCTAAACAGTTAGCTCCCACTATTAACACCCACCTACAGAACTTATGGGTGCTATTGCATCCGTATGTAGAACAAAAAAATAGAAAACTACAATACAATTTTTCCAGGAGCCAAAAGGACAGAATAGAGAAGACAAAAACAGAGAGAAGTGTCTGTAGAAGGATGTGAGACAGAAGAGAGAGAAGGCAGAGTGAGAAGCTAGGCTAGAGCTCATCCCTGCTGGGTTAGGCTGTTTAAGTCTACTCCAATCACTTACTACAGTCAAGTCCAACAGTGTGATCTGACCTGCTGTCCTATCTGTTTCCTCTTGGCTCTTCTCCTCCTTCACTTCCTCTTCTTCCTTCTGCTCCGGTTTGTCATCCGCCTCTTTGTCTTCTCTCTTAGGAAGAATTTCCTTTAGTCGCTCAGTGCCAAGCTGTGCCTGAACACCCACTTTGACACACTGTCTGCAATGCCACCTGTGATGAAATATATGAAAAGAAAACAATTTTTGTCTTATGTGCCACACAATAATACGGGTCCATATAGAAACACAAAAAAAACCAGAAAGACCGGGTAACAAGAGGAGAACATTCTCTATCTGCTTTAAGAATGTCTTGATGACCATCTTCTTTAAAGCCTACCTGTGCCTCCCTCCAGCAAAAGTTTGATGGAGCACTGTGCAGCAGCGCCCCCTGCTGCTCCCTGAGGAGGAGGCACCAGCAGCAGAGTCTGCAGCACCAACACGTCCTCCAGCTGGTGGACACACACCACCCACTGCTCCAGCTCTAATGACACGGCCTCCCACTCTGACTGCAACTGTCACACACAAAACAGAAAAACATAGATACAGCAGATTTATGTAGCGACAGTGCTGAAAAACTTTGAAGTGTCTGTCTGTGCATGCATGAGCCTCCTCTACCTTGCTGTCGGCCAGGCTTGTGATGCTAGCCTTAGCCGCGCGGTGAGCGACAAAGGCAGCTAGCAGAGCGGCAGCAGCATTGTGAGACTGGATACATGTACAGCGAACTTGCTGCCACCAGGGGGAGATAGACTGAGGGTCCCACGACTCCTCAACTGCACCTGGAGGCAGAAGAAGAGGCAACTTATTTTTTTCATCGACTTAAAATAGTTGTCCGACAGGTACTTGTGCACACACTGAACAGGAACACACACCTTTCATGCTGCTGAGGGCGATGAGTAGTGTGTGCAGGTTCCTGACAGTTTCTCCAGGTTTCTGTAGCACCTCTTTCTCTCTCTGCAACCACACACTCAGCAACAGAGACTGAAGGAAGGAGAAACAGAAGGTGGGAAATAAACAGTAGGGCCTTACAGAAAGTCATACAACGCCACAGAACTGGTGATGAGGCCTCAAAAGTCCTGATAAAATGATTAGAAAAGTATTTCTGATTCTGATTAAAATATAGCTATAAACAAGAGAAACCTGTTGAAGAAGTGTTATAGTTATTAAAATACCATCACAATCTCTTTTTTTAAACGTGTACTATTTAAACACTTTCTTACAGCGCATACATATATTTTTCTCTTATAATTTTTTTTTTTTTTCTATGTTAAAGGTCACATATTATCCTCCTTTTTTAAACATGTGTAAATAAGTCTCAGAGCTCCCCAAAACATGTGTGTGTAATTTCTTGTTCTAAATCCACTCTGATCCTGTATTTGATCATGTCTATAAATCCCTCTATTTCAGCCCTGCTCAGAACAGGCTGTTTCTGTGTCTGTACCTTTAAATATGTAAATGAGCTGTGTCTGACCACACCCCTTCTCTGGAAGGGCATTAGGGTCTGGCTTTTTTGCGCCATGCCCAGATGTTAATGGTGAGGAGCCAGACTCAGAGGGCAGAACAAACACCTAGCTGTGAGAGTGTCACCCACCTGGGGGAGGGGTCACTGCCCTTTGTGATGTCATAAAGGGAAAATCTCCAAACAGCCTGTTTGAGCACACATTTTCTGAAAAGTGGAGCAGGCAAAAAACCGACAGGATAAACTTTTCTCATCATTGGGGGGTTTGTAGACAGACCAGGGTCAAGTGTATTTTGCATAATATGTGACTTTTAAACTGCATTGCCCCAATCAAAGTGATCATCATCACTGCACTTTTTTTCAGCTGTGTCATTTTTCTCACATTTAAACACTTCAAATCATAAAACTAAACTGATCTTAAATGTTGACCCATCCCATCAATCAGATGTTTCCTCTTTCCTACCAGTAGCTGCTGTGGACTGATGCCAGCCTGCTGCAGTGTGTCACACACTTTGTGGAGCGGGCTCTTTCCACATAGACAACCCCAGAACAGGAAGTTTCCTGCAAAGGACACACAAGAGCAAAAAGTCCTCAGTCTGGATTTGTGCTGAGTGCTCCCTCTATCTGATGTCACTGAACCTTTTTTGTCATTTAAACATCAACATTTCTTTTAATAACATCCTGCGAGCATTTCACAGTCAAATGATGCATTTTGAAATCTCTGTATACAGTAGCATACAGAGATTTAAAAAATGCTTCACGCTGTGTAAATAGTTATTTTATTTATTGCGTCATGATGATGTTACCAGTATGAAGCTCCAGGCATATAATACGAAACACATGTGGCCATACCTAGCTGATTCCACTCAGTGTCAGACCCTCTGATCACCCTCAGCTCCCCGTCCTCGGTGCACTCGATCTGGGAGAGAAAGGCTTGGGCGGGCAGGAGTGAGTCAGGCGAGTCCTGAGCGAAGGAAACACTGGGTCTGGAGGTGAGCTGTGCATAGCGTTGTAAGGTCGGGCCAACACGGCTCAATTCTTCCTCTATGCCATCGAGGGAGTCCTGCTGGATAGGAGAACATACGAGTGTTTATTGTCGGGTATGAGGAAGATGAATAACGTTTAAGCAACAACAGTGACCTGATTAGAAGCTTTACCACAAACATCATTGATATATTATGTCCTTTTACAGTTGGAAATGTTAGTATACAAGCTTTGTGTACGTGTGTGTATGAGTGAGTGTGTGTGTGTGGGCTCACATCTTTAGAGCAGGCCTCTGTGTCTGCAGCAGAGTGCAGCTGCTGGATGTTTGTGTAGAGCTGAAGCAGTTTGAGCTGTGAAGAGCAGAGCTGGAGTAATGCTGTATCCACCTCCTCCTGGTCTGTGAAGCATCAAAACAGAAAGAGAGATAAAGTTATAAAACAATTCACAGGCACAAAACATTTTACACTAAAAGTTAGGGCTGAGTAACAAGACCCAAAACAATCAAAATTGAGCTGTCATGTTCTTGACAACACCAAGCCCTACTAATAGTCCTTATGTATTTGCTTCGTAAAGAAAGACAGTCTGGTATTTTTTCAAACCGGGGCCCAACTTTAACATGTCTTCATCTGTAAATAACTATCAGGTGCAACATATTTGAATCAACAGAAAGCTTCAGCTGGCACCTACGACACGTGCTGTAATGGCCGCAACATAATTGTTTTCCACTGAGAGGAAAGACTAAACAGCTCAGAGCGATCACGTTTTGGCCTGATCTTGTAGTTCTCCTGTGACGTGTGTACAGCTGCTCATGTCTGCTGCTCACGCTTTAAAAACAGACCCACTGGAGTAGGGCGTCTGATGGAGCACTATGTGGAAATTGGTAGTTATAGCTGTGACTTTAAAGGCTGACATTACTAACTAGAGCAGTTCTTAAACAATTGGAACCGACTGCACATTGAGAAACCAAGACTTGTAAAAACAGGTATAAAGATATAAACAATAACCTGACGCTTTACCTTGCTGCTTCAGGGTGTCATATAAGGCAGATGTGACATTAATTAGACATGACACCGGAGCGTTCTTGTTTGACAGCAGAGACTCCAAAGCCTAAAAGCAAAAGAGCAGAAAGTGCAGTTAGAAAAGTAGAAAAGATGAAGTTTACGACAGCATAACATAATAAACCTCTTAATAAGACGTTGAGTCTTCTGTGATGTGTCTTTGGTCATACCTGCTTTTTGATTGCAGGGTGTTTGATATCCAGCAGCATGTTTTTGGCTTCAGTCTCCAAAATATCTAAAAAAAAAAGAAAATGAATGAACTTAAACCTCTCATTTCATACACACGTCTTTTCACTCTGTCCATTCAGCCCTCTCTCTCTCCTGCGTCTCTCACCAGGCTCCACCTCTCTGCTCCTCAGTAAAGCTGTGAGTCTCTTCGACAGGTGCATATCTTTGGCTCGCTCACTCTTCTTGTCACTGGAATGAAGAAGGTGCATGTTACGACACACAGCAGAGGGAAACATAAAGCTGTAACAATGCATGAAGAGGTTTTAATGGAGAGTTGTTATTTTGTTAAGTTATTTTATTCTCTGTTTGGTATTTCTCCTGTGAGGATCTATCAGTTCAGTTTGCAGTTTGTCTTTTTCTCTCTTTGTTAATCTTGTCCTGTGCATGAGTAGGTAGTGTTTTCTGACATCCTATCAAAACCTTTTTCTGTGTCGTGATGTTAATCGTCTCATCTGACATTGACCCCGGGGGAGTCGCTAACAGGTTTAAAATCACTACACAGAAATAGTCATTCTTTTCCCTGATGGCCTCACCTGCTTTTGTATTTCAGAAAAAGGCAACACCTTGAATTTCAGTCGGTTTAATCCCTAAACGGTACAAACTTATGAGGTAAAGAATGTCTAATATCTCATCATATAAGGAACAATGACTCCGAATGTGTCATGAAGAAATCTCAGTCTTACATCACAAATTACCCTCTCTCCATAATAAAGAAGCAGTCATGTAAGAAAAGTAACTTACCTTATAATGAAATAGGTCAACACTTAGGGAGTGTTTGTGCATTATCATCAATGAGTGAGTAACTGTGTCTATAAGGGAAATAGTCTGGAACATAACTCGCCCTAAAACCTTTATTGTGTGCTCTTCACACACACTTTCTGTTCTGTTTTGTATAAATAAAGGAGATTTAACAAAGGGGATTATTGAGCTTTGGTGGTGATGAACTATATGACAAATGCTGATTAGCATACTCTTTAAGGTATGTGTATGTGTGTTCTGTATGTGTGTACCTGAGGGCCAGGTGGAAGGGGATGTTTACTGTCCTCATTGCTCCTGTGATGGGATCCAGCAGACACACCTGCTGCGTGTGAAGCTGCCAGCCCTGACTGGTCACGCTGTTCACCCCCATCAGACGGTAACCAGCGTACAGCAGCCTGGATGAACACACACACACGCACACGCACACATGCACACACGCACACACACATAAAAAAACTCCAATCATAGCAGGTGTGTTTGTCTAATAATATCAAGTCAAACATGTCTCATTACATCTATTATAAGTCACATTCACCTGTCAAGTCCAGATAAACATCCAATTTAAAGTGATTAAAAAGCAATAAATAACCCTTATTTGATAATAATCAGCTAAATATCTGCCAATGCAACAAGCACATCCTCCTCAAGTGTCTTCGAATGAGATGCCTGTAACTGTATCGTACATTTAGAGAGTACAACTACACAGTTACTAAAAATGTGACACATACACTTACTTAGATTTGACTTCTTTGCATTGCACATTTTGAAAAGGTCATTGAAAAGGTTAAAATTCAGGGCTTCTTGTTTTGACAATATTGTGTGCGGCTGTCCAGTTTCCTTTAGTTCCTCAGTGAGCGGTTTATGCGTCTGTGGTATACTATATACTGTGTATATAGTAAATATGCATAAACACAGGTGATGCTTTGTTTGTGATGTTTTCTATGCTAGGAAAAAACATTTAAGAAAAGTTAAAATCTTCATTGTCTGAATGCTTTGTTATACCTGCAGTGTTTGCCCACAGTGAAAGCCCCGACTCGAGGCCCCTGCTGCATCGCCCACACCTCCAGGATCCCCCTGCGGGGAGCGTAGATGACCAGGAAGAGAGCGTGACGTCTGGGGAGGGAGGCAGAGGGGGAGAACTCCCGTTCACCTCTTTCCTCTGGAACCTGCAGCCAAGCCAGCTGAGCATCTCGGTAACCTAAAAATAAAATCCATGAATTAGGTTACAGGGAGACACCAGACAACTGTCTTGCATCACAACTGTTTTTCATGAAGGAACAGAGTCTCCCGGTTTTTTCTCACCTTTCCACATGCGAATGGAAATTCCTCTTGCCAAGTCGAGCAGTGTGACTCGGCCAAAATCATCTGTCACTCCAGCCAGGGTGTTGCAGGGGGACAAACAGATGGACTCACCATGACGACGGGAGTCTGGGAGACCAAATCTTGGACAGGGAGAGAGGGAGAGAGAGAGAGAGAGAGATCATATGTAAGAGACTTTAGAAAGATTTAAAAAAGGAGGATCATTGAATTGGCGTTGTGATATCATGATTTGTACCTGATGGCTAATGGTGTAGATGGCTCCACCTTTGGCTTCTGTTTCTGAACCGTCTCTTCTTCGTTCTTATTCTTGTGCCAACCTAACCATCCGCTGAGAGAGGGATTTATTGGTGAGAAGTAGGCAGAGAGAGCGAGACACAAATAAGATGATGAATCGATGTAAAAATAGATTTAAGGTAAACTCGAGAGTAAGACAGTTTAATAAAGAGAGGAAGCAGCTGACTGAACACTCAAGGCACAGAGAGGAGACTTCAGGAAAACAACCTACAGCTCTGTATGGATTCAGCTGGCACTGAACAGAGAATGGGCCATTATTCAGAGAATTGATTGGACTGCTTTGTTCTGTTACAGCCAGAGAAAGTTGTAAAAGCTGCAACAATGAATTATTGAGTGTGTTTGTGTGTGTGTGTGTGTGTGTGTGTGTGTGTGTGTGTGAGAAAGGAATTAAATGGCATACACACAAGGGATCACAGGACAATGCCTACATGTTGTTAAAACTGTTCACTTCACAAATTAAGATGTGCCTCTTTGTTTCATTTCTCTCACTTCGTGTTCTTTTCTCAGACACTTCACCTTTTTTATGTTCATTGTCTTAAAGGGGAAATCCTGCATTTTTAAACCTGTGGTCTAAGTTTTGGTGTCTCAGTGACTTTGAAATTGCTCCAACTGATTGCCTTAGCTGACATTAATAAAATGGGCTGTAATGGCTGCAAGGTAAACCTTTAGGGCAAACCAAAGTACTTCCTCTAGAGTGGTTGTTTTCTGCTTACAGGCTAAGATTTGTAGAAGAAATGTTTGACAACACAACAGTAAGATTGTCATTTTGCACTTCACAGGACAGCAGTTACTGGTCTACTGCTGTGTGTAATCAAACATTACCCTTTGAACACACAAATCTGTACAAAACTAATGGATCACAACAGCAGCAAACCTGTAACATCCAATTCATTTCTGTAATGTCTACTTTGTAGGGATCTTGTTGGGATTTTGTTTTAAACTACAAATGAAGCAGACGTCTGCCGTGGAGTTAAGCAGACAAAATTAGAGCCTGTGCATCTGCCCAGAAAAATAACCTTACAGCCATCACAGAGAGTGTCAGTGCTAGCAAGCTAAAGCAATCAGCCAAAGACATTTAAAACCTGTTTCATTTAGATTTCAGAATAAAACGTAACTTAGACAAACTGGCATATACACACACAAAGACAAACAGACACACACACAGCCACACTCACCTGGCAGCGCTGAAGAGTGCTGAGGTGAGTTTACTGGCCACAGCCAGAGCCACGTGAGAGAGCAGAGGCTGTGAGCTTCCCTAAAGACAAACAAACACAACAGACGCACAAACAGATGAATTTAAGGAAGCAGTTAAGTTATGTAGATTTTAAAGAACACTTCTCATTGGGAAATAAACAGCCTCTCCCTCACACACTCACCTCCACAGCATAAAAAAATCCTGTGTATGGCCCACCTCCCACTGTGACATACTGGCTCATGGCCGGAGGGTTTCCCTTGACTGAAGCAGTGAACCCCCCAAGAATGGACGCATTTTTCATCTGGTCAAACACACACAGCGTCATGACGCCTAACAGCAGGAGAGAAAGAAAACAGTGAGCTCAGTTCTTTACCAAGGAGGTTAATCATTCATCTGATTCTATTTTTAATGAAATAATATCCTCTCATTGCAAATTGTATTTTGTTTTTCACTTCCCATAAATGTATATTTGATAAAGTACTTTGAGAGATTTGTCAGTAGAGGACATTTGTCCGAGGACCAGTATCACCAGAGGACCTTTAGTAGTTTTTAATACTTGTTGAGGTTGTCTGTGATCTAGCTTCCACGTGAGCCTCACATTTTGTGTGTGGTTTTTTTTTTTTTTTTTAAAAAGCAAAATTTAAAGACCAATGGAAATGACTTTTTATATCGTGCAAAACAAAGAGGTCACGCGTTGGAGCTTTAATATCAAAAGGGTTTTTTGTTTTCTCTGTGACACAAGATAATTTATGAGGCTGCACGAGCAAAATAAAATCCAATTTAAAAACATTTTGACAAACAGTTTTGGGGCTAATTCAGATGGCTCATCTTTTTCACAGCATAGAGAAACATCAAAGATAATAGAGCAGGCTCAAATCCATCACAAACTAAATCTGAAATGGTTAGATATCCTGTAGATGATGGCAGCATGTGGTGAGTGTTTTTCTCTGTTGTTTAATTAACAGGCGAGGTTACATTAGGCATTATTAATGATAACATTAGGCACTAAATATAACGCTGAGCCTGGAAATCAAGTCTGTGAGATAATCTCATTAAATCCAGGTCAACTACAAACGTCCTGTTTAAATGTGATTCACAAATCTAATAGTAATAGTCTTCTAATATTACCAACATGAATATCAATACTAATAGTCCTGTGTGATAAGGACTTGGGTCATATGTGGAAGGAAAATGTTAAACCAGGGAGAAATTGGACTGAGTGAACAAAAATCAGTGGGTCTTTAAAGAAGAGTGTCTTACCCACACTACTGTGGTCCACAATGGTGTCCATTTCCTGCAGACCCCACTTCTTATAGGCCAGAGGAGGAGGCTGGATCACATCACTTCCTGCTGCTGCAGCTGGATGAAGAGCACAAGCAGCGATTTGAAAAAACCTTTCACAAGAGATATCCTCGTCTATTGCCTTTAACTGGTGCGCACATCTTAGATTCAGCAACTACTAACGCTGGGGAGTAAAAAGAAAACGCCTATGGCTACAGAGCACAATCACATACACTCATACACACACTGCATTTCAAAACAGCTGAAGCTTTGCGGCTAACGCTCTAGAGACGGAGTCAGGTGTGTACATGTGTGTACGTGTGTTCAGCCGTGGAACAGCTGTGTAGTTGTCTCGTCTAAGTACCTTTATGCCTTGTGGCAATCTCTATCCACCCAGCCGGCAAGTAAAGGACACAACTCTAGTTAAAACCTGAAAGAATAACCTGAAAAAATACTCCAACATTTAAATCAACACTAAAGCTCCATTGATCTCATCCTAGGTAAGTAACACATCCATAGCACAGTCCAATCTGGATGCACACACACTTCTACAGTCAAACACCAGTACCTCTTGCAACCTGGTTCCTGCAGGCCCGCAGAGACTGAAAGAGGCTGAAGCCATCGATGGTGACCAGGGCGGCAGGGTAGAGGATGCTCAACTCTTCATGCTGTGATGCAATAAAATCAGGGATTAGATAGGTGGAGGATAAAACAGAGCAAAATCCAATCACAGTGAAATCTGACTTTACATTTGATCAAAGCAATATGATCCCAAGATTTAAAAATGACAACTTATCCAACAGTTTCAACATTTTGGGAAACACACGGTCGAGTGTTATGGAAACATATTGATGTCACTCTTGTGTCTGCTACTAAAAATGAAGAATCAGCAAACAACCAGCACACAGTCATCTCAGTGAACAGAACCAGCAGGCCTGTCTTTTCATAAAGATTACAAAACGGACCTATCAGCACCTCTAAGCTCACTAAAGTAGAATTCAAGCCTTGCAGTCGCATGACTCTGCCAGCAAGTTGAGTTTGCAATTAAAGAACCCCCCCTGTGTGTTTTGCACAGAGTAACTGTGGCCCAGAAAGAACTCTCTGTATATTTAAGAGAATGTACAACCCTGCAAACAAAACACAAATACAAAAACCAACAACACAAGGAGGCAAACATTCAAAAAGGAGAGTTGCACCACAAAAATGTACCAGAAGGGACGTAATGCCAGAGAATGTTTCTGACTCTGTTTTTCCACAGAGCATTTACTGGTCAGTACAACTTTCTTTTGACGTGTAGATATGTGGGAGAGCAAGGGAGCGTTTACATTAATCAACTATGGATGGTGTCCTTCTCTTAGACTAAGAAGATAAACCTTATTAATCCCAAGAGGGGAAACTTCTAACAAATACCAAAGCAGTTGTAATTAAAAAAAAATCCCTCCAGATGTTGGTGAGGTCAAAATAAACTTTTGACTTTCACAACCAAAATCTAATCAGTCTTTTCTTGAGTTAAATTTTATGTCTGAGCCAAACTTCCAGGGGAGTGAGATCTAGTATCCAAAGAATAGGAGGAATGACGAAAACCCTAACCCCCCAAAAACACATCTGCTGACAGCACACAACCACATTATATTAAGATATATTTTTGGGTGTTTTGCCTTTATTGGATTGGATAGTGGCTAGAGTAGGAAACCAGGAAGAGAGAGAGAGAGAGACTTGGGGAATGAAATGCGGCAAAGGAGCCACAGGCCGGACTTAGACCTGGGCCGCCCACATGGGGCATGACATGACCGCTAGGCCATCTGCACTCTGTCTTAATAAACAACTCTACAGAGGTAAACATCTGCTGGCCTTCGCCTCCACATTAACAGTGCAGGTATGAGAGTGGTGGAAGTCAAACTATTCTGTTCATTCTGTTATCATCAGTTTTCAGTGTTACATTACCTGTTCAGTTACTCCTGGATGACGAGGGACCTCATACGTGCGACATTTGAGCCTCAGTACAGGATCCTCATGCAGCAGCTGGGCCAGGAGCAGAACACCGCTCTGATGGGAAACAATCGATAGTACATTTAATACTGACAGTCCTGACTGTGTTCATGACTTTATATTGGATGGTTTCTTTTCCTGCTGATTATCTGACAAAGTCGCTTGTTACTCAAAACTCATGAGGTACCTCTGTGTAGAAACGGACGTATCCAGAAGTAAAACCCACAACCACACACGTCCAGTCAGGCCGCCCTGTGGAGCTCCTAAAAACAACAAATGTGTCTTTAGAATCTTCTATTACTAAACACCACAAACATTTCCCTTCCACAGGTTTTTCAACATACAGTAGGTCATTCTTACCTCTTCTGGCTTGCCAATGGTATACAGATAGAGCTGCTCACACACTCTCTGTCGTGGGAAAACACACACAGGAAAAGTTAGATGTACTGAAGATGGACACGTTCACTTCACAGATCACTGTCTGTCCTTATGTACACAGCAGTCAAACAACTATCCCTTTACAAAGTGACCGTTCTTCTTTTCATTCTTTGTAGCTTTTTTGTTGTTGTTTTTAAAATATTTTATTTTTGGGCTTTTTGTGACTATATTGCAGAGACAGGACAGTGGATAGAGTTGGAAATTAGGGAGCGAGAGAGAGTTGTGAATGACATGCAGGAAAGGAGCCACAGGTTGGATTCGAACCTGGGCCGCCCGCTTTGAGGACTATAACCTCCGTACATAGGGCGTGTGCACTAACCACTGCTAAAATTGTATGGGGGCTTCAAATAGCCTCTTATGAAACCAGAGGATGACATCACTGATACTACGTCCATGTTGTATACATTCTATTACAATATATAAAATAACAATAGGTAGATAAAAAGATAATATTGCCTTCAAGCTACATCAACATCAACTCTTCTTTAAGCAGTGTCCTCTCCACTTAATTTGATCTACTGTGACTCTCACCCTTCGTCAGTGCTGAGGGTTCCAGTCCAGGACACAGCCAGAGTCATCTCCTCTCTGCCGCTGCCGTCTGAACGCCACTTAGCTGTGAGAACCAGAAAATGTTTTCAATGACTCATAACTCATTCTTGTATGTAGAGATGAATGTGTGCTTGTGTTTGAGTATCTGACCTGAGAGGAAGACCGCCTTTTGTTCCCGGGCCACTACGAGCAGGTCTGAGCAGGGTGACAGAGACACCACACAGTCCTGCAGCCAGGGTCCACTCTGCCCTGTGGTCTCCTCCTCCACCTGTGGATTAAAACAAAAACTCAGTGATTGGTCTTTCTTTATCTGTCCTGACGGAGACGAGGAGATGTTGGAAACACTTTGATTACAACGAGTAGGGTAACTAGAGGACAACTAGTGGTCTAATATAAGCACACAACAATGAAATACTTTTCAATTACTCGTCTTTGTTTGAACTCAATTCAATTTCTATTGCCTGAGAAACATATTGCTGAATATTGTGGGGATAAATGTAAACTTGGAAGAAGAGACAGGACAGACCGTTTTGGAAGATGAAGCTTCCTCCTCTTTGTTTTCACCACTCTCCCATGACGACTCCCAATCAGAGGTGTCCCAAGACAGCTCATTTTCTGTCAGAGAAAAGGAAGAAATGCAATTTACTGTGTTATAATTCAAGACATCATGCCTACAGAGCAGCTTGGTCAGTGGTCAGGGTAAGTCAACAATCTGCCCTCTGTCTTGTTTTCAAAAAAGTCCTCTCAAAACAATCATATTCTAACATAAATCTTATAAAACATATTACCTTTGTTATGATGTTATTGATGTCATGTGTGAAGCACTTTTAATTGCCTTTAGCTGAAATGTGATAAATAAATAAACTTGACACCTGACAGGTTCGTCATGTTTCTTAAAACGTAACAGTGAACACGCTCGAGAATTAAAGACAAAAATAAACTATGTATTCTTTAAAGGGGTGTGAAACACAATGCTAAATCAGTTCTGTATCTGTAAGACCACAAAAAATGGAAAACTGGAGAGGACAAAAGGAGAGCCACTGATAGGGTGAGGGTGAAAGAAAAACGTCAGAGCAAGAAGCTAAATTTCAAGATGAGATCCTGTTGCTATGGACATTTAACAACACATTATGTCTTTGTTTAATGTGTGTGTGTGTGTGTGTGTGTGTGTGTGTGTGTGTGTGTGTGTGTGTGTGTGTGTGTGTGTGTAGGGGTCAATGTGTGCTACATAGTGCAGGTGATGACACATTCTGTACAGCTAAATCAAGAATGTGAGGCACTTTAGCCCCTTTCTGTGTGTGTGTGTGTGTGTGTGTGTGTGTGTGTGTGTATGTGTCTGTGTCTGTGTCTGTGTGTCTGTGTGTGTGTGTGTGTGTGTGTGTGTGTGTGTGTGTGTGTGTGTGTGTGTGTGTGTTCTCTTTGGTCGAGCATCCTGCAGTGATGTGTTCAGGTTTCTCAGGTGGGATGACTCATAGCATAAAGGGCAGACAGATTTCCCTCCTCCCCTCGTTCAGCTGCCCTGCTGATGCTGCAGAGCACAGACGAAGCTCGACTCTTTATCCACTTAGCAAAGCCTTCCTTTCAACCGTCTGGACATTTGTAACAATACCTTTAAATAAATGCTTTTTATATAGACTGAAACATACCAATTCATAATGTTGCAGCAGATAAAGTGAACAGAAAAGAATGGACATGTACCTTTTGTTCTTCTTCACCAATTTAGTACCAATATGGAAAATAACAAATAATGCCAATAACAACTAATATGATAAATAACTCTGTGGAAGGATATGAATCATTCAATAAACCATATGTACATAGTGCCACAGCACAACATTATCTCATGACACTGCACATAAAGCAGTCTGGGGACTCTTTGTATAACATGTTACATTATTAATCATATTTGGACCACAGTCTGCTCAGCTGTGATAATCTGAAGCATGTTCTGCAGACAGTGCAATAAGTCTTTTTTTTTATAAATATGGATTCTTGGCAAACTAATAACACCAAAAACAATATTTATTTAAGCTCAACACCCACAAATGTGCATCATGCATGACTTCAATACAACTCCTTTGCTTGCAGTTTAGAAATAGGGCATTAAATGGATTAATATTAGCTGTCAGGTAAGACAAATCAGACCACAATGTTAATTGTTCTAATAAAAAAGGCTCCTCCTGGTGATAAAATACATTTACCCACCGTCACATTGACTGATTCTGTGTTTACAGTTACTACTTCTGAAGAAATAAAATGTTCAGAGACTGTCTACTGTGACAAGGGAGGTAGAAATGTCCCAGATCTTGCTTGAGAACTTTAAATCACCTGTAATAATATTATAAAGCAGCATGTATTGTCGATTAATTAGTTATCGATTGGTTTGTTGATCTTCGTGTTAGGACTATTTCTAACAGTACTTTACCTGTTTGACTTTTCTCCTCCGCTGGCTCACTTTGCTGACTCTTGAACAAATAGTCCCTGACCGTCTTTAGCTCTTGGAGCCGACAAAACTCCAACAAGCTGCAGGACATCTCTCTCCTCGACACAGGTGTGCAGGGACTGAGCCAGTTAGCCTGCAGTGCTAACAGTCCAGCTAAAGGAGATCAACGTAGCTTAGCAGCTGGAGTCCGTTTGCAGGTCCCGCTGTCGTGTTAACTTTGTGACAGCTTCTTCATGAAAACAGTCTTTATAACTTCTCTTCCACTGTCACCTGAACAAATGTCAATATGGATCTGGTACTCTTCTTTTTTCACATTTGCTGGTCGCTCCCAGCCTGGTTCCTGATGAGTTGATGACACACTGTTAGCACAATAACATAGGTCCACTTCCGGGTTAGCGCTAGGTCAAAAATATAAATATAGCAGGGGAAAAGGGGGAAAAAATAAATAATTCATACTTGTTAATAAAAAAGACATGACGTCATGTATCGCGTTATATAATAACTTTTTAGGCGTTTTATAATATATAAATATATTCAACGATATGCGTCAGGTAAGAGTGCATTCGTGTAGATTGTCCGGCAGGGGGCGGTAGACTGACGCATGCTGAATGAATCTCCTCCCTGTTCTTACTGGTGTTACTTTTGTTTATTAAATTAATAGTCTTAAAGTTATGTGTATTTTTGATTTTTCCGTGTTGGGCGGTGTTATTAAAAACACACAGTTGTCTTCCCAGCTGTGTTTACAACCTTCTATGAACTGAATTTAGGGTAAGTCTACCCTGCATGAGTTCTGGGTTTTAATGTAGGATTCAGAAAGTAGTATTCAATTAATAATATAGTCAATGGATTTCATATTCTTATGATATGACACAAATATAGGGCCAGCAAAGCTCCTCTCCCTCAAGCAGGTTACAAAACATACCAATCTTGTTCATTAGAAGTTCTATACATTTGTGTAGGCTATTTTAATTTGTTGGATCTATTTATTTGCTTTGAGTCCTGCTGATGCTTTGTATTTTAAGCAACTTTAAATAAGTTCTTCATCATTGTATTAAATTATGTATATTCAAAAACAAATTATGGAATTTACCCTTTGCTTAATATGACTTCAAAATAAGTGTAACACCAGCATTTTTTTTTTTTTAGAAATGTAGCTGAATTCTTTCTTATTTTTTAAAAAGGGGAATACCTTGACAAACTAGTGAACTATTGTGACTTAAGACCAACAATTAACAAAAAGAAACACACACAAAAGAAACCATATATCTAGACATATGACAGGAAACCAACAAAGATGTTATTGATGATAAATTGATGATTTATAATTAGTCTGGAGTTTCACTTTACTGGAAAATTACTAAAAACAATAATAAAAAACAGTGCGGAGGGATAGCAAATGTGTTCGTTTATCCAAAGTGATTAAAAAAACACTGCTATACAACAAAAAATGAAATTCTAACAGCAGGGAAATTAAGTAAAATCAAAATGGGGCAAGCAAATTTTTATTAAGTGTCTTGAAATGAGATAGTCCTAGAGTCTGCTAATTTAATACGTCCAATGCAGCCCTTCATTTTTACTTTTTAAATCTTGAAATAAGATGTTTATCTGCATTTTTCAGGGATATGTGGCTGATATTAAGTATAATGTGATATTTTTGACTAGAAATTAGACAAATACACTTGCATAGATTTGAGGTTTCTGCTATGTACACAGTTTTACAGTGTGATCCCAGCTTATATTTACTGGCTAACTGCTTAAATTAAAGGGGTCATAGTCCATTTAACACTGTTGTGTTGCCCTATGGGATTTATTACGCTGGACAATCTCTACTGCAGAGGTTCCAAAACATTCTGTTCCTCCGAAGTAGTACTTGTTCTCTCTTGACCTCACTTACAGGTTCATGTTCGTGGAATCTTGGAGAGCCTAAGGTCAAGGTTATTACTTTCTCTGTGTGAACATATTGTAACTCCTGTGCTCAACATGACCAGCTGTTAGGGGCATTGTTTAACCCCCCGCTCAGTGTCTTTCTTTCCCATCCTCTCCGATGTTCTTTAAAAAGCAATGGGCACTTTTCCAGTGTACTTCCTGCATCTTCACTAACAATCCCAGCTCACGTCCTAAACACACACACACATATGTACGATACAGTGCATGCACACATAAACAAATACAGGCTCACCTCTCGGGGGTGCCCAAAAGTTTCCGGACCGGGCCGGACACAGAAACTCAGGAAACAATTGAGTGTCAGAAAGGTCCTTGGGCCCTTCTCCGTCACATTTCCCCGTCCTGTGCCTTATTCACTTGCAGAGATGTTGTTACGTCGGCTGTTTTACAGTCACCAGAAACAACTCACCATCTGGTTCCCCCTCTTCCTTTGTTGATAAGGAAGTGAGCTGGCATCACTCCGTCCCAGGATGGATCTGTTGTTGGTACACAAAGAGAGATGGCAGTGATTTATTCAGGCACACAGAGCTTAGTCACTGTTAAAAAAAAACCTGAGGAAAGTTCTGTTTCTGCAATTTTTTTATTGTTGTTATTGTTATGAGGGACATGGTAGTGGATGGAGTTGAAAATCAGGCAGAGAGTGGGGAATGATATGGGGCAAAGTAGCCACAGGGCAGATTCAAACCCTGGCCATGCCTGCTTTGAGGACTGAAGCCTCTGTACACAGTGCGTGAGAACTAACCACCAGACCACCGGCACGCCAAGAATAATTTTTTAAGAGGCATTTCAAACACAATGACGACCTAGTTTAAGCAAGGGTTTGCAGCATGTTCTAAGTTAAGTTGCTCTTGAATGCTGGCTCGCTGTAATCTCTTCACAAGTACACTCAACATCTGGCAAGCACAAACTTTGAAGGAAGTAGCACAGTGTGAGAAGACGGAGGTTAGTATGCCGTCTGTTTTCAGGACTCCTTGCATAATCTGAAATGAATAGCACACACACACACACACCCACACACACCCACACACACACACACACACACACACACACCCACACACACACCACACACACACACACACACACACACACACACACACACACACACACAAAACTCCAATCATAGCAGGTGTGTTTGTCTAATAATATCAAATATGTCTCATTGCATCTATTATAAGTCACATTCACCTGTCAAGTCCAGATAAACATCCAATTTAAAGTGATTAAAAAGCAATAAATAACCCTTATTTGATAATAATAAGCTAAATATCTGCCAATGCAACAAGCACATCCTCCTCAAGTGTCTTCGAATGAGATGCCTGTAACTGTATCGTACATTTAGAGAGTACAACTACACAGTTACTAAAAATGTGACACATACACTTACTTAGATTTGACTTCTTTGCATTGCACATTTTGAAAAGGTCACTGTGAGGGGGATTCAGGGCTTCTTGTTTTGAATGATAATTAGAAACAGAAAGTAGTTCTGACTCATTTCGCATGCTATGGTAAGAATATGTTTGTTATCTTCTTTGGCACATAGTGGCCGCCTGTGTTCTGACCGCCATTCAACATGTGTGTGTAAAAGTTCAGCAGCTCATCACACAAAGGGTTCATTTTCCATTCTACTGTTAACATCCAGGGGAAATCAAAGGCTCTGCAGTCTTACCATCGACTCTATATTATATAAGAAGTGTATGCAGACAAGACGTCCAAGAAGTAAAGCCAATCTTAAACCTCTATTATTTTGAATGACCAGCAGGGGGACATTAAGCATTCTGATTGTGTAGAAGTTGAGGACAAATATAAAGCTTCTACACTCTCACTTGTTTTGTTTTTATCTCAGTAGGAATTTTTTTAAACAAGTTTATGGTCTTACATATTATCCCCATTTTCTACCTTTTCAAACAGTCTCCTGCGGTCTAAATGAAACATCTGTGCTGTGCTTTGGTCAAAATATAACATGAATCAAGCACCAGAGGAGGTTTGTGACGCTGTATAAACCAGCTCTCTCAGAACACTCCGTTTTGGTATGTGTGTCTCTTTAAATGTAATGAGCCCCCCGTGAGTTTTACTGGTAGACATCACTTCTTAACTAGCGAGAATACAAATGGCTGACCTGTGCAAAAGTTTTGTTCTAGTCTGGGGGTGGAGTCCATGGGTGGAGATACCAGGGGATGTGAGGGGATTGTTTTACCAGAATCCCACTGTGACATCACAAGGAGAGCGAATTTGAAACGGAGCACTTTTCTCTGTGTTGTAAGACTTATGCAGACCAAAAACACTGGATGGATTTATTTCACATTTTGTTTGTCGGTAGACAATCAGGTTACCAATATATATGTTCAACAACACTGTCAAAGTGGATTTTTCATAATATGTCCCCTTTAAGTTGTAACTTCTGCCTGTTGGAACTATCTCAGCTGGTGCACTAAGATAAGATAAGATAATCCTTTATTTATCACACAACGGGGAAATTTACAGTGTTACAGCAGCAAAGAGCAAAGATTGCAAACAGAAAGTGAACACAGTACAATTTAAATAAAAAAAGAAAAATTGAGCTGAGCTGCATATATTGCTTATATTACGCCCAAAGGGATCCAAACTCAATTTGGTACAGCTTCTGCTATAACCATACAGAAATGGATATAACAACACCCCTGAGAAGTAAAGCCAAAAGATTTAGAGCTCCCCCTACAGACTGGCTGCAGTATAAGTCATTCCAGTTTTTTTTTTCGATTGCTATGACAATTTTATTAATACTTTTAACATTTTTTCTAAACTCTTAACACACTAACACACCAAAACACACAATTGGCAAAACAGTTAATTTCATGCTCAAAACCACCCATTGTAAACTAAACTCTAGCACTCATTTTCAAAATAGAATAATACACAAACACAATACACTATGTCCACCAAAAGACTGTAAACATGTCTCAAAATCAAAACATCTTCCAAAACACTAACACATGTTGTCTTCCAACAGGAATATTTAGTCGATCATAGCACAATGTCAAAACACTAACATCAAATGGAATTACAGAAGCTGCATTACTTTACATGTGTCAGGTCTGCCCTTATACAATAGACAATATATTGTATTGAGCATAGATTGTGTTTAGCACTGCATTTTCTTTTGAAGCCTCTCTACATTTCTGTTTTGTTGGGTTATAGTAAGTAAATGCATGCATTTTGTTTCTTTTGCTGCAGGAATTACTGTAAAAACCATAAAGGATTGACCCATATCAGAGGAGCTTTATTGAATGTATGGTTTATGAAAAGAAGTCAGAGACAGAATTGCTGCAGTAAAGGTTTTATTTTATTCTCAGCAATCACCATGTTGATAATGGCAAGTTCCTGTTCTTCATTTACAGTAGGAGCTTTAGGAACCTAAGGCTTACAGTAACTGTTATACAAGGTAAATCTGATTTA